ATATATATATATTCATTCCAACTCCTATAATCCCGTGATCAAATATAGTTATATGAATAACATAAAAAATATTATCTTAGTATAGTGATTAAGAAATATCATGCAAATCTTACTGATGGATAAAATCAAAGAACGTTTTATGTACACTGAGAAGAAAAGTATTGCAAAACTATCACAATATGCTAAAATTAATCCTATTTCCGGCCCTATAGGAACAACAGAAAGCATGGTAATTTTTACCGAAGCACTTTCATAATGATTTTGGTAAAATAATTATTAAAATATTGCTTCATATTAGGCCTTAAATTTTGGTAAACGTGGTGAAATTGGGTAGTTTTATCCTGATACCATAGAACATGCATAGAAACTATTTATTCGGTTAAATTTACTTTTAAGTTTTGTATTTGTTATTAAAAGTGTGATAATAAAAACTGTAACTTTGAAAACCAGAATATCCGGTAAATCCTTATCACATGAAAAATTACCAAGTGAATACTTTAAATACTTTATAATTTGGTATTATTACCAGAACTATGTTTGTTGTTTTAAATCATAAATGTATTTACCATACAATACGGTTATTTTACCAGAATTTTTTCCTCCAAGCATTTGTAAGCATTTGAAAGTCATTAACTAAAATGAATTAAAATTAAGTCTCTAAGTTTCAGTTTATTTTACTAAACATATACAGTTTGGTCTTAAAAAAAGTAAATATGATACACAAGTAGTTTATAAACTAAATATACATATATTTTAATTAAATATATTATAATATATTTTACTGCTACTAACGATCTTATGCACACTTTTTACATTCAATTAATAATTGAAATACTTATAGCAAGAATAAGTTGAATAACATTTTTGTGTATTTGCAAAATGTGTTTAAAACTTATCTATCGGAAAAACTTTTTCAACCGGAAACCACAATTTATTTAAGAGCAAGGTAATGCAATTAAACTTCCCAATAACAGGAAAAAATTTTCTGCCTAATTCAATATTAGGCCCTTTCAATATTGATAAATGTATTCGTATTCTAAACAAGTTGATGTTCAACAATCCTATTTTCTGAATTGTCCAAAAATAGAGAAAATATTCGCATTGTAAGCAAGTTTTTCTCCCAATAAAAATATTTTACCAATTTAAGCTTAAAGTTTATTCGGGAGCTTATGAGTTATTCGATTAATCTTTTTTTATACTTTCAACCGGAATCATTGCAGCAACTTCAAACTATGCAATAGTTGAGGAAATAATGATGAATGTAATGTTAATAGATTCAACTAATTGTTTCGTTTCCAAAATTTTCAATATACAAAGAAACTATTCGTATTCTAAACAAGTTTATTTCGCAAAAGGAAAATATTTTATCTAATCTTATAATTTAACATAAAGCTTATTAAAAAATTAATGAGTTAAGGCATTCGATTAGTTTTTTAAAAAGTTTCAAACCATACAATCTTTGATAAAATCTTGATGAGTATAAAGTTTATAAATTCAACTAATCCTAAATGTAACGAAAAAAATTATATTTTAGTCTACATAGCGCAGAGTATACCCTAACCTCTTTTTTTATTATTAATTATTCATTTTATTTCAAGAATTTCTATAACAAGGATCAAAACTATTCATATTCTAAACAAGTTTTACTTAATATAATTTCAGCAGAAAACTTATGAATTAATGAGTTAATGCATTCAATTAATCTTTTATAAGCTTTCAGTATGAATCGTTGCTGTAGCTTCAAACCTTGCAATCTTTCATGAAACCTTGATGAGTGTAAAGTTTATAAATTTAACCAATCCTAAAGCAAAGAAAAAGTGCTTTAGTTTGTATAGTACAAAGTATGTACTTTTTTTATCAATTAATCCTTTTATTTTCAAACTTTTCAACAAGTATCAAAACTATTCATATTCTTAACAAGTTTCTTTTTTTTTCAAAATATAAAGTAAAAAATAGTACTTAATTTAACATAAAAGTTGAAAAGAGTTGGAAATTTAATGCATTCAATTAATTCCTTTTTAACAAGATTTATTTAATCTAATTTCAGCATAAATCTTATGAATTAATGAGTTAATGCATTAAATTAATCTTTTATAAACTTTTAATCGGAATCGTTGCTGTAGCTTCAAGCCCTGCAATCTTTTATGAAACCTTGATGAGTGTAAAGTTTATAAATTTAACTAATCCTAAAGAAAAGAAAAAAGTGCTTTAGTTTGTACATGGCAAAGTGTATCCTATTTTTTGATCAATTAATCCTTTTATTTTCAAACTGTTCAACAAGTATCAAAACTATTCATATTCTTAACAAATTTCTTTTTTTCAAAATAAAAAGTAAAAAAATAGTACTTAATTCAACATAAAAGTTGAAATGAGTTGAAGATTTAATGCATTCAATTAATTCTTTTTTAAACATGAATTGTTGCTGTAGTTTCAAACTATGAAATCGTAGTAAAAGTACCACAATTTGGCCTCTGTCCAAATTCCTTGTAACTCAGGTTAGGCGACCTTGTCTATGTGACTCTGAATATTACCAAAGGTAGTCAGCCTGATGGCTCGAAAGAAAGTGGTTCAGAGCAGGTAGTAAAAAAAAACTTGAATACAAAATTGAAACAAAAATAATAAACCAAGGCCAAAAGCTGTGTCTCAAGTTATTCAAAATAACGCCCTTACAGTAAAGCATTTAGAAAACAGATTTTTTGCAGGAGGATCTTTCAGTTGTGCGTTGCCATTTTTTTAAACGTAATTATTTTATTGGTTTGAGAAAGAGTTTTTTTTTCCTGTCTCCGCTTTACAATGTGCTTATCAACTGATCTTAAATCGTTTGCTCATTCTTTTTTGAGCCGTTTAGTTTGTTTGTATAAGAATTTTACCTTTTATGGTAGTAATATAAAAACATTATAATGCATTGTTGTAATTGGCACATAGATGGCATTAATTGTTCTTGACCTATGTAACAAAGATATTTTTAGTGGGATCTTCTATATTTTCTTTTAATTTGTTCAAGTAATTTTATTAGTTTGAACATTTTTCCTACCTACGCATTAAAATGACTAATTTGTTTACTAGCTATTAACAGGGTCATCAAGCATTCCGATACTATAATTTTACTTTTAATTGACCAAAAAATTGAAGAAATAAACATTCTGAAAGCATTTTAACCCCATAAGATATTAAAAAAATATTAATAAATTAGCACATTATTATGTAAAGTATTAAGCAATCATGTGTCGTATTAAATAACTTTTAAAGCATTTATAGATATTTCATTTATTAATTATATAACCCACACCAACTTCATAAAACTTTCTTCTTCAATATCGTAAAATAAATAAGACTGGACTATTAACTAAAAACATAGCAAAAAGACCAATAGCAATAAGGAGATCAAATTAAGTCTATGACAATTTCGATTTGAATCAATTCTTGCTCAGGTAATCTAAATCTATTTCTTTAGTAATCTCTATATTTTTACGAAATACATTTATAAACCCGAAGAGTATACCAGTCGAAACTAGCGGGACAGTTTGAATAATTCTTCTTTCTATATTTTCTAGTAGAGCCCTTTAAATGTTAGACGTCTCCTGATGAACATTAAATCTGCAAGATAGCGAACGATTCTGTAAATCATTTGGTCGATTCCATAGAATATTTTTGCGGACATATTTCTGAACGATGTATTTATACATGTCTCATTTATTACTTACGCGACCCATACCAATTTGATAAAATTTCTGTGTATTTTATTTTAAAATTAATAAGGCTGATCCTTTATTAAGATGGTAGTAATTAGGCCAAATGCGATCAATTTATGGCTGTGATGACTTTGATTTATATCCGTTTTTCCTCAAATAACCAAAGCATATTTGTTTGGTAATTTATGTATTTAAAAAAATGGGTTAAAATCTGGTGAGCACGCCAGTCAAAGCTAACAAACGAGTTTCAATAATTGTTTTTTGTTAAATCTCGTGGAGCTGCATGAAGTCAAACGTCGACTGACATGCATTAAATTCGCAGAGTATTGACTGATCCTTTCAGATCTAGACCTTGGTTGATTTCCTAAAAGTTTTTAATGAAAACTTTATGACTTATATGCATGAAGTATTATCATAATTATGTTTTCTTCAGTTTATGAGTAATTCAGAAAAAAATCATTTTAAAATTACACTTATAGCAGAATTTTGAACTCCCTTAAACAGTAAAGTAATTTTTCTAGGTTTAAATTGTATCACATAATGTACACAATTAAAATGAATTTTTACATTTAGCTTTTAATTGCTTTATTTTTTAGCACAGTAAATAAACTTAAATCCTAACATGTTCAAACTTATTTATGTTCAAGTAATTGGAGAGTATGAAAGCTTTTATGTAGCTAAATTCTCGGTATTTAATGAAAAATATATTATGAAACTATGTTTTAAGTTAAAAAAACATTCTATAATTAGAGGGAGTGATAATAATATCCATGCATCAACAGTATAGCAATTTTATAAAATACAATGGAGAGAAGTAAATATTAATTACCTGTTTTGTTTTGTGGTTTACAACTCTTTTACTCGTCGTCCATTCCTCTGTAACAGAAAAAACACAAATAAAAACGAAGTGCATTACATATTTTACTGGTATATCTTATGATAATGCTAACAACATTAATCTTTTTAATTTTCAAATCACACAATTCTCGAAAATGAATTATTAAAAATCCTGAAGTAATGATAGTAAAGAGTGAGACAAATAATATAGTTATAAAACAAATGATTCTAGAAATAATATTTTTTGCTGTTTTCTACTTTCTGCTCTGTTAAAAACTCTGGATCAAATTACACTATAAAAGTACCGGAATTTTGTGTGGATCATCCGTAAAATCCATTTTCACCGCAAAATATAAAACCGTAATTTTTACAGTGATATTTATATAATTAGAGTGATTCTGAGATTTTGAGATTTGAAAAATTACACTCTCAAAATTATGAATTTTAAAAAAAATGTATTGCATAAAAAATGTTCTTAAGAAACTGATTTATGAATTATTAACTGATTATGAAATAAGATTATTTAATTAAAGTGATTTAATGAGTTTGCGATAATTATTACCGTGAAAATTATGGTATATCAGATTTTTTGTTCCGGAAAAAATGAATTTTGAGGTAAAAAGTGGTACTTTTTGACGGAATTTTATCCTTAATTTTTTACAGTGTAGTGCAATTTTTTTTAGCAAGACGTGTAAAAACTTTCACCTGGTAACCTTTGTATCGGGTTTTTTTACCTCTGCTTAAAATGGTGAATGTTCTTCGTTAAAGAACAATTATTTTATTCTGGTGCTAAATATCATTTTAGAACAAGTTTTTATTCACCTTATTATTTGAAAAATAAATGTTTAAATATCTTTGTATAAATATTTGCAATCATTCCGTCTTATAAATATTAAACTATTCATATAAATATATAATTATTCACATGAATATTAAACTATTCATAAGAAACACAACCTAATATATTTGATTTAAAAATCTAGTAGGTTTTTTAACAAGACGTTTGTAAACTTGCTTCCAAAACCCACACGTCTATTGACCTCTGCTTGAAATTGTAAATGTTCATTACAGAACAACACTGATATACCCTTTAAAATTTGTATGGACGTTTTTTACTCATAACGTCAAATTTACGACGTCATATTTTTCACTGTTTAGCAGTCGCCTCAGCTGTAAAGAGCTTGTTTGTAAAATAACGAGCATAGCCTCTACTATAAAATAAGTTACTTCTCGTTTGTAATAACTCGTCTACAACAAGTGAAAGTCAACAAAGAACAAGTGCTTAGTATTTTGTGACCAGATCTCTTTTCAAAAGACTAACATTTATCAAACCTTTAACACGTGAGTCGTAATTTTATTTGATATTCTCTGCCTGATACACCATAGCAGTTAATTAATTCCAATGTTTTATGATACCAGAAAAAGTTTTGTTTTGTAATAGAGAAAAATGTCATAAAGTTAGAATTTTCGTGTTACCTTCAAGTAGTGTGATAAAGAATAAAATTTTATTATGTTTTTTTCTCTTCTATTTTAACTTTGTATAATGTTGGAAATTTTGAAAAGCGTTCTGCAAAATAGTTCAAGTTTTAAACTATTATTATGAAATTAATTTTTCTTAAAATCAATTACATTATTATATGGATTAACTTGAATGAAAATATGGTTCAATTTAACGTGTTGCTAAGCTTGAAGACACTTTGCACAATATTATGGTTGGACATTTGATAATCCAGATTTTCTAAGAATATATCATGGTTAGGTAATTATCTATGTTGACGTACACTCTCGGAAAAATAGGCTATGAACCACAGTACCTTAATCTATAATACATTGTAATTTTACTAATACCTTAATTCCAAAAAAGTTATGATAAAGTAATATTATAAAATAGATAAAATATGATAGAATTATAAAATTTACCGTGTTTCTGTCTCTATGAGAACGCCAGAAAGCTCGGTAATTTTAACCGAACTGTTTTGATAATGATTTTAGAAAAATTATTAATGAAATATGATTTTATAAGACGTGATAAAATTTGATAAGTGAGATAAAGTTGATTTTATCATGATACATTAGAAAATGGCATAATAGTCATTTATTCGGTTATATTTACATTTCATATTTATTTTTTACTTAATGCATGGTATCGATAGAACTATAAGAACTATAATTTTGATAAACAGAATATTCAGGAAACCATTACCATACGAATGATAAAATTACCAAGGAATGGTTTAAATACCATATACTTAGGTTATATTCACCAGAATTATGTTTTATTACGAGAAACGCCATTATCATACGATAACTTTACCAGAATTTTTTTTCTCCGTGTATAGTTCAACGCGGAACGAATTTTTCTGAGAGTATATCATGGTGAGGTATTATGTATGCTGAGTATATTCTCAGAAAAATTGGCTGTGAACCATAATATAGGCACTTTAAACCATAATACAGAGCAAATTTATTACAACCTTACAAAGTTGTGAAACCATGTTTCCGTTTGAATTTAATTATAACATTGTTTAATAAAAATTTTAATATTCCTCAACTTAGCACCATCTTGAGGGTGCAGCAAGTTTAAACGATATTATGGTTCATTAGACACCAATATTTTTTAAATGAGTGGAATTTAAGTATTTATAGTTTCTTTCAAAAATGAATTGAAATTAGGTTTCAAATTTTGCACCATAATTCATAATTTTTTGCGTTAAAATAATTTCTCACCTCCCGTTCAAACAAGTTAAAAATATCTTTTTGTAGTCAAAAATAATGTTTTAAAAATAATAAACACCATTTCTTATGAAAACGATTTTACAAATGGCGGCTTTCAGTTATTATTTTCTAATTATTTTCTACTTTTATTCTTTAAAAAAATAAAGATATCTAATAACAAGAAACTTTTTAGATTTGTGAAAAATAGGGGTTTTAGCAAATTAAAAAAAGAATATAACACATAGCTTTATTAATCTTAATCGCAAAAAAAAACTGATAATCAATTTCTTTAACCAAAACCATGAAAATATACACCAATATATGCCCAAAGAATTTGTCACTCTGATTCGAATTTTAGTTTTTCAGTTAACTTTCAGTTGTAATTAAGATATATTAATTCTAAATAATATATTTATGAATATTTTAAACAAAAATAAAATGCAATATAATGAAGTTATCGCTTATCAATTATTAAAGGACAATATAAGCTTTTTCTACTAATTAAAACAAAATTAGTTAATATGTGCAGTAATATATATCATTGACAGTAATTAAAATATTTATTAGTTAATAAAGTTCAATTTCAAAAGTAAATATAAACAGTACTCACCATGCTTTTTAGTAAATAAGACATCTGGATCCTGAAAATATTAATAAATTGTAATAATGCAATATAGAATATGGAAAATAGTAAAATAGTTGTAATTCAGTTAGCTAAATAGTTGAAAATAATGTAAACCAATATATATATATATCGACTCTTGCTTATTGTCATCCAGCCTCTCTCTCTCTCTCTTTCTCATCTATCTGTCTATCTATATCTATCTATCTGTCTGTCTATCTGTACATCTCTATCAATCTATTTCTTTCATCCTGCGCAACGTTAGTCTTGGGCTTTTTTTCCGTCGTTGCAATTAGTAGTACGCTTCAAATTTAATAACAAATTTTCTCAGTATAGTTTAGATCTCATAAAGTAGTTAGCTCGTTAATGATATTCATTAAGATGAAAATAAATTATTATTTTTTTAAGATTAGCACAGTTATAAAAATTAGTATTTGGTTTTCTAATGTGAAATGCACAACTTGTTTCAGAAGCATAAAGGAATAATAAAACTATCAAATGTTCTAAAAGATGTCGCTCACTTTACATGCTTTCGTTTTTAATTGTTTAAAGAATATCAATTTAAAATCTGCCTAATAAACTTTTTCTTAGAGAAACTAAAAATGTCTACAATTGTTTCATTTAATTCTGGAAAAGCATTTAGCCATGTGACTAGACTAAAAAGTGGGAAGCTGTCTTATCTTCTCATAGAAATATGCAATGATGCAATGTAAAATAAAATATTATAAAGCTTTCGAGCTGCAAAGCAAAATTTTCCAGGCACGTAAAAATTTCCAAAATTCAGTTACAAGTAATATTACTTGAGACATTATAAACAAAATAACGGAATTTAAACATAATTAGTTACTTAATGTATTTGGGGAATTCAAATATTTTTTGTGAAATATAAAATGCTTATCTAACCGAGTTCGTATTTTTAAATTGAAAATTTCTGGAAACTTTCAGACTATTAATGAGAGCGAAGACAATTGATCACTTCGCACTTACTGTGGATTTAAAAAATTATTTTAATGCATGCGTGTTCTTTATTATTTCTTTAATAGGAAACATTTTGTTGATCCTTGTTAATTTACAATTATAACATATTAAATCAAAAGGAACATGCCTTCATTTTTTTCATAATTCATAACTATTAAATATTATCGTATTAACTATTAAATATTGAATTAAACTAAATATGTCTTTGTTTTGTTTAATAACTCATAACTGCGAATTGAAGCAAAATAAGTATGCATTCGTTTTATATTTATAATTCATAATTATGTCTTCGTTTTTTTAAGACTCATACACATTATATCAAAATAAGAATTTCTTTGTTCTATTTTATAATTCGTAACTAAATCATTTTAAATGAAAACAAATGCGCCTTTACTTAGTTGCAGAATTCATAACTGTGTCTAATGTGACTCATCTTAACTATCATTTTTATTGCCTCTATCGAAACGTTTTTTTTTGTACGGTTTTCAAAAGTTCAACAAAAAAAAATTCATTTATTTTAAATTTTTGGTATGAACGAATAGTTAGAAATATACACGACAAAAAAAATCAATTGTATAATTCTGGTGGGATTATTTTCCGTTGAATTCAAGCCATAAAATTTTTTTAACAGCTATGTACCAAAAAGATAAACTTTCAATTCAATACATTTTGAAAATATCAAAAAACAACACGTATTATATTTATTTTCTGATTATTAAAAATTCCTTATGTTATTAACATCACCACTGACTTTATTTTCTTAATTTAAGATACTTCTCTAAATTATAATAGTTTTATATTTTGAGAGTTTTTCATAATCCTAAATGTTTAAAACTGCAACAAAAAAATTCCTATCACTTTTAGATAATTATAAAGATAAACAGTTTACATCTTTTCAATTACTTTTTTAATGTAAATTCTTGAAATACAACAGATACTGAGTCATTGAATAATTTGTTGCAAACCTTATCAACCCAAAAGAGGCTTTAAAAAAGCGCATAACAACTATTTCATATCTTCCCTTTGGTGCCGTGCCTACATGAAATCGTGCATGCATAATAAGCTGTCTTAAGTAAATTGATAGGCGTGGTTTACACCGCCTAGCGCAGTGCTTTATTTCGTCCATGCATTAGTAGTTGTAAGTTATTTTTAAAAAAAGAACCACAACAAAACCTTCATCTTGAATGAAAATGCAAACATACACCATTCTTTTATTACGAAATAATCTTGTTTAAGGAAATACTGGACTAACGCCAAAAATTCCTCAATTCGCTTAAATTGTTTTATTCTTTCTCTTTTTGGAAGGTAAAAAAAATCTGTGAGGATAGAATTTCGTGACTAACCAATGACTGCACAAATAAATTAAATAGGAGACCTTTACGAAAAACTGAAAATAGATTTTTAAAACTGGACAATCTTTCAGCATTGTGTACACCGCAGGCAAAATGAAATAAAGACCTTTTTGTGAATTTCGCTGGCATTTTGAAAAGAGAAGGCCAATCTGAATGTTGTCTCAGGTCTTCAAGATTTTCTAATATGAATGATACTTTAGAAACTAATCATAATTAAAGTGTAATCCTTCAATGTGAGAGAACTACTCCTTCATACTAAATTTGTGTCCACTTCTAGCAATAAACCTTTAATTAGGCTGTTTGAAACAAGCCTTAAATGCTCTGGGCTTATCACAAACTACTTGAAATAAATTAGGATAAGAAAAATTCTTGCTAGTCTAGGACAGTGTTTCCCAAAGTATGGTACGCGTACCCCCAGGGGTGCGGGAACAGTTTAGTGGGGGTACGCGTTCTTATACGAAATATCTTGCAACAAACGAAAATTTCAAACAAATTTATTTAAAATCAAAGCTAGTCATGAAAATTTACGATTATGTATTTTTCTATTGTCTATTTTTTGCACAGTTAACAGTTAATAATTAGTGGTGTCAACAGCCAGTTGTGATTTTTAACTTTTGTGCTATATTTTTATAGTAAAAAATACATTCATTTTTTTATTTGTGGTACACAGCGTTGCGAAAAATTTCGGAAGGATACACAAAAGTCTTAAGTTTGGGAAACACTGGTTTAGGATGAAAATAAAGTAACAAAAAATTTAAACCAAAATATTAAAAAATTGTCAACAACGTAAAAAAATAATACTTGTCGGCCTATAATGCATGAAAACAATATTTATAACAGATTATTTAACAATAACAATTTATTAATGCAATCTAAAATGTGAAATGAAAGATATTTAAAACCTACAAATAATTACTTAGATATAGGTATTTCCAAACATAATAACACAATACATATAATAAATACATAATGTCTTACAAACGTAAAAGGTTCATTTAACAATTAATTATTTTTGATACACAATATTCGTCTTGTTTTCTTTTTTGAGAAACAAAATTCGCTAGAACCAATTCAAAGATAATTAAACTGTTAAACTTGTATGTAATTTCACGATAAATCTATTTTTTTAATATTTTTTGCCCGAGACAAAAGATTAATGAATCTGTTTACAATAATCCTTAAAATTTGTTTTTAATGAACTCAAATGAATTAATTTAAATAAATGAATTAACAGTGATGATAAATTAATCTTTGATCTTGATGCTTTTAAATGAATTAATTTAAATAAAAGTAGATTTCATATACATAAATCTCTGCCTCTTTTTTTCATTACAGGAAATTAATAAGAATTTTGTCACAAAGAAAATGAATTTTTTCAATGCAGTTATTCCGAAATATGTTTGTGATATTTTTTTCGTAGCTTTATTTAAATATTTGAGAGATTTTATTGCGTTTTTAGCTTTAAAAAAACAACATGTTTTTTAATGCTATGAAACCAAACCTACAATCATATTTCTTTAAAAATTTCAACACATTTTTCTAAACAAAGGCTATACTAATCTTTTAGATCCAATTAACATGAAATGCAATCCTGGAAATTAATTACAATGTACGAATTGTGAATTTGCTATTAGAATTATCCCTCACAAAAACCCAGAATAGCTTATGTACAAATAAATGGGTAACTTAAACAAACTAACATCCAAAATTTTTCCAAGGCTAAAATTATCAAAAGTTATTTATGAAAATAATGCTTTATGGAAACAAAAATAATAGTTCTTTATCAAATACGAATCACTATAATTATGCAACAGTGCATGGTTAGAATGAGGTCATTTCAAATAAATTATATCCATTATATAATTATGCAAAGCAAGTTTTAATTTGAGTTGATTTCTTTGTTTGAAGACCTTACCGGCCTTCATATTCGGACAATAAAGATAGTAAACAATGAGGAATAGAACTCACCACTAAATCTGTGGAACTCACAGGAACCACACTCTTTGTGACAGTTCGTGTAACAGTCGGTTGATTGCTATTAGAAGCACTGCTGTATCGATCGTTGGAAGGCATCTCTTCTTATTTATACTGAATTTTGGAGACTACATCAGAACTACATTATTTTGAATCTGAAATAAGAAGAAATTCAGATTTATTCTTATAATTAATCGTAATCTAATGCAATTTGTAAACAGGAAAAAAATCTGGTGTTTATTAAAATTACTCCAATATATGGTAATCATGTTTTTGATACAAAACCCATAATTCTGGTAAATGACACCAAAATATTAGGTATTAAGGCCATTCAAGTGGTAATTTTTCAATTTATATAGAAACGGTTAACCGAAATTAATGTTTTCAAATTAAAGTTCTTATAACCATACATTTAGTAACAAATACAGTAAAACCTGTTTTTGTGCGATTGGTTTTGTGCGATTTTTTTTGTGCGATTTTTTGTGCAATTTATTTTTATACGGTATACGAATCTTAGCGGAGTTAGCACCAGTTTAATGTTTTTTATCAATGTACATATACACGTTGTGGACGAACTCTGATTACGTGGTCTCCTTGACCAGTTGACCGTCGTCACAAAAACTGATCACTGATTTTATGGTAGCAAAAACAAATCAATTCAAATCCTATCTTCAAGCGACGAAACCGATTTTCAACCAATTCATCACAAGAAGATGCGCGTTTTGGATTACGACGAGTAGCAGCAAACTATTTAATGTATAATTTGAAAACTTCTCCCTGTATATGTACAATGAAGAATTAAATATTTTTACAATTTCTTTAGGTCTAATTTAATTATTTAATTTAATTGAAAGCATTTTCTCATCTATTTCATAAATCACTGATGTATCTTCTAAGTCCGACTTTTTTATGCGGTCCTTATCCACCGCATAAAAAAATTTTAGGTAGTATATCGTACAAAGTTGTTTATTATATGTAAGTTTTTATAAAATTTTCGAATAATTTTTTGTACGATTTCTTTTAAGCGGTTCCTATCCACCGCACAAAAACAGGTTTTACTGTACAAAACTGAAAAGTAAATTTAACCGAATAAATTGTTTTTATTCAATACTCTAAGCTATCATGACAAAATTACCAAATTTTACCACGTTTGCCAAAGTTTTATCCCATATTATAAAACCATATTTAATAATTAATTTTACCAAAATAATTATCAAAGAGCTTCAGTAAAAACAACAGAGATTTTTGGTATTCTTTTAGAGCCAGAAACCTATACATGCTTTTTCTCTCAGTTAGTAGAAGCATGAAATGTAATATATGAATACAGAAAAGGCTATAATTCAAATACCGTGATTTTATTTTCTCTAAATTAAAACAATCACGCAAACTTATTGTAAAAATTGTGTGTCTTGCAATAATAATAATCATAGTATACAATGTAATTGGTGATATTGCATAGTGTAATTTTAAAATGTAACTATTTAAAATTAATGTAATAAAATAAAATTTAAAATAAATGACATAATAAAATGTAATATCTAAAAGTAAATCTAAAAGTATGTAATCGAATATATTTTGCAAAAAACTTCAATGGAAGGAATTATATAAGGAGTTTAGAAATTAACTATGAGCATTTTTATCGTTATTAATTAATTAAGATTTATTAATAATTAAAAAATGTTAAAATATTAAGTAATGAAAAGTAATATTTAAATCATGTAATAATTAAATGTATTACGAACTATGCATTATATTGTAGGAAAATATATAAATGTAATCGTTTTTACCTAAATTTTAAAGCATTTTAGAATATTTAAATGATATATTATATTATAGAAAAATCGATAAATATAATCATTTTGTTATTTTTTTTATGATGCCTACATTTAAAGATATTTTAACTTATCAAAATTTATGAAATTTTGTCGAATATAAATTTTTGTTTAATTTCTTTCAGTAGGATTCCTTTTCATGATCTTTACAAATACGATTTTTATAATATTTAGACAGCCATTGACTGTAAAATAAGTGTCAAATACATGATAATTATCAAATACAGCCTAAATTTATAGCAAGAGTCAAAATTGTTGATAGTTTTAGCCATAAATAAAATTTTTAAAGCGTTTTGAAACTTAAATGATTTTAAACGTTAATTTCTCCATGGTCAGAGATAAATTAAGTAATTCAAAAATAACTATTAAAAACTTCCTATTTAATGTTAACTGTGAAATTCAAGATCATATTACAAAATATGAAGAAGCAGCAAAAAAAAACACAAAATTCACCCAAAACAAAAAATTATTACTTAAGTTTAAAAAATAATTTTCGTGTTAAGTAACGAAATTTTTTCATTATAATTCTTATTAAAAACACAGTTTTTGTAATCCAAATTAAAAAATTAGTGTTAACTAAGTTATTTTTATAGAACTTTCTAGTTTAAGTTATTAAAAGGTATCAAAACGCATTCACTATACCGCCATATCATTGCTATAAAACACCATCATGTCGTGATAGCAAAACAATATCCACATAGTGAACTTTATAATCAATTTACTGCGATATGAAAGAACTTTATTTTTAGATCATTGTTTTTGCATTTCTAAAGAAATAAAAAAAAACATAACTTTCCGATTCGGTGACTTCGACAAACATATTTACTTGACGAGAACAATTCTTATTGAGAAGTTCGAAAATAAAACTAAATTAATTCTATGTGGCAAACGACTTTCTTTGCAATTGAAGTAGAAGTATTTTTGGTTTCATGGAACTTGTAACATTTTGTTGATATATTGATGTCTTTTGTCTAGAATAATTGAATTCTTATTGATGAGTTCTGATTGAAACGTGACTAGAATAATGAAACTGAAAGTTCTTGCCACTTTCCTGCAGACGAAAATGAACTAAATTGAAAATTCGATCAAGAGATAAAGTAGTATTTCTTGTTTTATAATTATCGGTTGCTTTTTTTTTTTTTTTTTTTTTTTTTTTTTTTTTTTTTNTTTTTTTTTTTTTTGAAGATCGGAGTGCGTTTGATTTGTAAGAAGGGAAAGTCGTTAATTGTGTCATGCGGCCAAATATAGTTACAGTGATGAAATTTGTTCAATGGAATGTAACATTCTTGTTGAGTTTTCCTGTGTTATTTTACCAATTTTATTTTAAGTAACAAGTTTAGTCATAAGGATTGAATCGATATGAGAATTACTTTACACCTATGTAAAGTTTTCCATATAATTTCAAATCAATCCTATTATTGACATGATCATTTCAAATTAAATTTTTAACTCTAGAGTTATCTTTTATTGGTAAAAGCATTAAATAAATTTTTAATTAGCAAAAGGAAAATATTTATAGAAAATGTTCGAAATTACGTCAAAAGTTACATCACTAAATTAAAACTACTAGCAATTATTTATACGCCCAAGGAGGGCCTCGTGTATCTGTATATAAGTATGCATTTGTATATAAGTTACAAAATTGAAAGATAATTTTTCAATTTCAAAAACCATTTGAACTCATGAAACGTTAGAAAAATCCTTTTATTAAATAATATTCATTTATTTTAAGCTTAGTAATAATCTGTTTATCAATTACAATCAACTTAAATTAATTTAATTTTTGAAAAGTGAACAAAAATACATCTTTTAATTGTAAACATAAATGGTATTTGAATTGTATTATTTAACAATCATTCCACAACAAATCGGTATAAAAATGCAAACAAAATGAATGATTTACATCAGTGAAAAGTTTCTTATATTACTACAAATCGCTTTTTTATTGGCATATCATTCCAAATTAAACTTCAAATTCTAGATTTATCTTTTATCCATAAAAACTTCAAGTTTTTAACTAAAAAAAATATTTACGGAAATATATAGGATTTATGTAAGCGATTAAATCATAAAATTTAAGCTATTAGCAATAATTTATACGCCAAAAAAAACATCTCATGCATCTACACATTTGTAAATAAATTACGAATTTGAAAGCAAATCTTTCAATTTCAAGAAGCATTTAAATTCATCGAGAATGAGAAAGTAACCCTTTACTTAATAAGATGGGTTGATTTTATGCTTTGCATTATTAACTTAATTCAACTTAAATTAATAAACTTTTCGAAAAATAATTAAAAATGCTTCGTTTACTTGAAAACGTACACGGTACCCGCATATTTAATTGCATTCTTTGATAATCATTCAATATCGATTCGGTATAATGATGTGACTAAAAATTTGTTTATTATTGTATGAAAAATTGTATGGAATATAACTAAAACAAATTCCTCCTTCGACTTTTATTTGAAAGAGTATTTTTCAAAATCCTAAAATTAAAAATATGCAATATTCAACCTTTTATAAGGGCGAATTTTATAATACGTTTTCGACAATACATAGATAGAAATCTCTACAATAAAAATGAAATACAATACACAATTAACAAAAATCGAAAAAAGAAAATAATTTGTGATCTCAAATTATCTCTCCCGCCTCCAAATCTCATCACAACTGTTGCCACATACACGTGACTAATATACCTTTCTTTCCGCAGACGACATTTCCGGCCTATTGTATGCAACATTTGTAACGCAAGGTCACGCTTGTCTAAAAAATTAAAACGGACACGCTATTTTCAGTTTAATGTTTTTCTCATAACGGTGGCCTAATGAATGCTTGCGTGCATGCAATGTAAACAAAATACTTGCTGGTAGCTGATAAAAGCACACGAAGGTCAACCATTTACTATGAGGCAGTTTCATTTATTCAATTTTATTTAACAGATACGGCGCAACATTTTATTATGAAATTATTCGACAATTATCACGTCATTTCTAAGCTGGCAAAATTCTCAGCTAAAGGGTTGAAGGAGTAGACTACGGATGGCTTCATAACCTGGCCATTATCTTCACCAGAAACTAAAATACTCTTGCACGCTTTTTATATCTACCTCATAAACAGATTCACACCACGATTGTGCTATAGCAACGAGTTACCACTACTTGTACGGAAATAAAACTTAGTCTGGTGGGAAACCTATATTTAATTTAATGGACGACTTGTGGTGATTATATTGGTAGCTGAGTCTAAAATCCACTAGATCGCATACCAGTAGCATAGTTGCCACTATAATGTAACGAGTTGCAATTATATCCTTTAAT